ATTTTTGCCAACATTTACAATTATCTGGCTTTTTGATGCTGGTCATCCTCATGGAGGTGAAGTGGTAGCTCCTTGCAGTTTTGATTTTCATTTCCTCGATGGCTAATGATACTGAACATCTTTTCATGTGCTTATTGGGCATTTGTATATTTTCTTTACAGAAATGGCATTCATATCCTTTTCCTATTTTTAATTGGATTATTTCTCTTTTATTATTGAGTCATAAGAGTTCTTTACATGTTCTAGATAGAAGTCCCTTGATTTGCAAATATTTTTTTCCATTCTGCAGGTTGCCTTTTTACTTTATGATGCTATCCTTTGAAGTCAACTCTTTCTTGATACTTATATTCAACTTTATTTCTATTAGAAAGATGCTGCTATAAGTTGAATAGTGTCCTTCCAAAATTGATATGTTAAATTCATAATCCCTAGTATCTCAGGATATGCCCTTATTTGGAAATAGGGTTAGCTTAATAATCAGTTAAGCTAAGGTCATAATGGAGTAAAGTGGGCCTCTAATCTAATATGAGCAGTGTCCTTATAAAAATAAGAAATTTGGACACAGATACACACACAGAGAGAATACTATGTGAATGTTGGAGTTATGCTGCCACAAGCCAAGGAACTACCAGAACCTAGGAGAGAGACCTGGAACAGATCCTTCCCTAGGGTCTTTAGATTTGTTTAGAAGGAGCATGGTCCTGCCAACACCTTGATCATGGACTTCTATCCTCCAGAACTATAGACAATAAATTTCTGTTGTTTAAGTAACTCAGATTGCAGTAGTTTTTTAATAATAGTCCTAGAAAACTAAGACAAAAGTTAGATCTATTTTTAAATTTTAGTAGTTACATTCAGATCAAAATCTGGATGTAAGTTTAATAAGATACAATTTCTTGGTTTGTATTCCTAGTTATATTGATCAATTCCATAAAATTCACATTGTATTTAATGGGCTCTAGCTTTACTTTTTCTGTATAAGTGTCTGAAGATTTTTTTTAAATTATCAAAATGTTATTAAAATATGTGTTTATAACCTTTAGCAGGCATTTAGATTTCTTTCTTAAGATCCTGGTTGCTTAATTCCTTTTTCCTTCTGAATAAGAAAAATGATTCTGTTTAAGCACTCCCTAGTCTGATTCTGTTCTAAGCACTCCCTACTTCCCCCATATGAAACAAGGGAGGTAACCCTAAACTTGGCACTTCCAGACTCTGCTTTGTCTAAGAAATCAGTCATAACCTCATTTTCATTTCCAGTGATTGGCCTGGAAATGTACAAAATACAGTTCTTACAAATGAGACCTAAGGAGAAGTCTAATGGGGGATTTCTGAGGAAAGTTTCCTTGCTCTCAAGAAAGAAACTGCAGCTATCTTTCTGACCACATGGCATCTGGGATTTGGGAAAATTGCTCATACAGCAGATCACAGAATAGAGAGTGAGAAGGGTTCTTGATGAGGTTGGGGAGCTGTGACTGAAGATTGTCTTATCTCGGTATTTGTTAGATGACATGATAAATTTCTTTATTGTTTAACTAGTTTGATTCCAGGTTATAGCCTTTGTATCCAAAGCATCTGAACTAGTTCCTTCCTAATAATAACCTTTTACTTATTTGGCTGAATCTTTTTGCTAAAGTCTAAGCTCCACATGAACTCTGTTGGATAATTATCATGCTTTCCTTCATGCTCTAAACCTTTCTTAACTTGATGTAACTTCAAACATTACTAATTAATGCAGAATGTGTGTGCTACAAATGGGTTATGAGGATAATGAGATATTGACTCCTTTGGTCCTTAGAGTGGCTGGAAACCTCGCAATGGTCTCCTTGTCCTGGTATCAATCAGCTTCCTCCATTTATTCAAGAGTGCTGAACAAATAATATTTTCAAATGTGTGCACTGAATTAATTAATATGTTGCTTATTTCAGGATAATTAGAAAGACTAATAGTGCTAAACCCATATTTGAACTAATTAAATTAGAATATCAATTAAATGATTAGTGGAATAGCCTTCTAGTAGCTGAAGTTAGTTATATTTCTCTTTACTCTATGTCCCTTTCATGGATTATTGTCATTGACCCTAATTTTTTTGTGGGAATAGGGAGACAATAGCAAACTCCAGAGCACTGGTTTAGAACACGGATGGCCTGAATTCCTGTTCATGATTGCCCCTAGACTGTGAATAAATCATCTACCCTCCCTAGACTGTAGTTTCTCATCCATTAAATGTGAAGCTCAGATTAACTGATCTATGGCAGATCAAGATCTATGGCTTTATTTTGATAAAAATATTCCTGTATTCATCGATTAGCAAATTTGTCAGGTCTTTATAAACAAATGCTGTTTGTTATTCAGGGCACTCATATTTTTCCTTTCATGTTATTTATTTTACCTTATAATTAGTTTTCTAATTTATTGGTTTTCAAATGTTAAATGGTAGACAGCAATGATTCTGAAAATAGGTGATGGGTATACTAGACAATGTCACATTATCTCCTCTGATAATGAATAGTAACCTCATAACACTTTTAAGTGTTATATCCCTAAAGAGGAAGCTCTGTGTGAAAGGATAGCACGGGGTTAAAAATGGAAAAATAATGGGTTTCTGTAGTGAATTTGTGAAATATTATTCCTTTAAAAGGTCTTTATGAAGTCAAATGTAAAATAGTTTCTAACAAAACAAAATTCATTATTATTCTTTTCTGGGAAGGTAGGATTCTGAAACATTTTGGTTTGTATACTATCTTTACCTCCAATATAAAAGCACAAATCTTTAAATGGTCCTTCGTGTCTTTGTGTGTGTGTATGCAGGAATGAAAGGGGTGGAAGTGAGAAATTGGCAAAGAAATTATTTGCTTCTTTGGCAAGGAAATCTCAGAAAGATATGATGATCCCCCCACCATTTGCTAGTGCAATGGTGAAGCATTTTTACCACAAGTCTCTGCAGAGTTGAGGTATTTAAAACAAAAATAAGATAACATGTTTCACACTTAAAAGCATGATAGACTGTAGCTCACAGATGAGGTGAGGTGAGGTGATTTAACAAGCTGGGGAGTTCTAAGTATCTGATACTAAGTGCTTCAGCTTCAAAAATAACTCCAAAAGAACATAACATAACCTAAAATATAGGAAAGAGCTTCTTATCTAAGCAATGCAATGTGTGAGGTCATTTTAACAAAATCCAGCTCTGCATATACTATATATTATAATATCTGAACAACATATACCAGCCCCTGTGGTTCACTTTCTATTTCTGGTTCTTAAATGCCCCAACAGGGGGCCATCCTGAAGGCTCCGATTATCTTTCACACAGTTGGGGGAGAGCAGCCCTGAGGTATCATAGGATACAGACACCTTCTCAGTACTGATCACAAACACACATTCAACATAGAGACCTTCCCTGTTACTGGAAGGGTTCGCAACATTGGAAGTGAACTAGAACTCGAAATACCATTGCAATCATTCACTTATTCATCCTAACATTATCACATACTTAAGTAGGCATTGGGATGCAACCCTAAAAAAGATAATGACCCTCCCTGCCCTCACAGAGCTTGAATTCTTGAGAGGGAGACTGATAATAAACAACAAACCAAAAACATTGTTTTAGACAGTGGTAAGTGCTGTGAAGAAAATAAAGCAGGGCTAAGACTTTACAGAGTGTACCGTGTTTGTGGCTATTTTAGATGTGTGAGAAGGGTTCTTTGCAGAAGTGGCATTTGAGCCGGGATCTAAATGACAAGAAAGAAGCTGCAAATTACCAAGCAGGAGAAATAGTTCTTGTGTGAGGAACATGCACAAGGAATGGATGATTAATAATGCTGAAAGGAACTTGACGACTTTCAGGAACAGCAAGAAGGCCTCTGTGGCCAAAGCCCGGTGAGCACGTGTTGATGAGGTCCCGCTTTTATTCTAAGTGCAAGGTGTATCCATTGGAAGTTTTTTAAAATCGGAGATAGGAAGTGGGGAATGTAATATAATAGACATTTTAAGATACAATATTGCACTTCGATTTTACTCTTGGAAACATTGTTTCTAATTTCCGCGCCGGTCAAACAATCTCGTTCCCGGCCGTCTGTTTGCCTAGGCTGTTTGCGCTCGCTGGGGTTTGTTTGTACCCGACGCCCTGCTGTTGACAGCCGGGGAGGGACAGCGTGACAGTTGGCAGGCGCAGTGAGGTGCAGCGGGAGCCAAGTCGCTGCAGGGGCCGGGGCTGCGGGAGGGGAGGCGGGGTAGGAGGCGCGCGGGGAGGGCGGCGGCTTTCCCCTCTAGGGTGGCGGCGATGCGCTCTCCGAGAAGGGGATGAGGAAGCGGGCCCCGACGGGCCTCCCCGGGGCTCACGGGGACCCTGGCGTGGCGGTTCGGCCCCGAAGGCTAGCCGGGGCTACCCGGATTTGGCATTGGAAACAAAGGTGGCTCCGGGCTGCAGGCAATGGCGCGAGTGCTGGGGGCAGGGGCGACTGAGGGAGTCTCTGCTTCTGCGGCCTAGCGCCGCGGGCCCCCGAGGCGACACCCCCTGGAACCGCAGGTGTTGATTTAGGGCTCTCATCAGGAGGGCCTTCTGCCCACATCCTGCGGCTCCCGCGGCCCGGGCCTGGCGATCCGGCGCCGGGTTTTCTCGGCCGCCCGCACGTAGAGGCCGCGCTCCCTGCCTCCAGCCCCGGGACTGCGCTCCGGGCGCGCTCAGCCTAGCGGGCGTCTCTGCCCTCCCTTCGGTCCGCTGGCCTCCGACCTCGTGGGACACTCCGCCGCGGGCTGGCAGCCCGGCCGGACACACCCACAGCTCCTGCTCCCCCGGGCCTCGGAGAAGGGAGCTCCCCGGAGGCAGTCTCCCCGGGAAACCGACGCTTCGCGCTCCGGACGGCGACCTCCGCCCGCGGCTTCCTGCCCTGCCTTCCGATCTCAGCCCCAGCGGCTCCTCCTCAGCGGGGCCTCTCGTCACCCCGCCGCCCGAACCGGCCACCCACTCTCTCGCCGTCACATCGCCCTGCCTGAACGCGCGGCGGGGCCCTGCTTTCACTCTCGTGTGTCTTCCGTGTGTATTGTCTGTCTCTGGAATGCCCACTCCATGGAGCAGGGACCGTGCGTTTCCGGCGCAGTGCAGGCGTCGGGGCGCCCAGGGCCGGGCGCGACACAGTAGGCAGCCCCGTTCGCTGAATGACTGAAGTCGGCTCCCCGCCCGGGTGAGCGACGCGGCCGCCCGGCCGCTCCGGCAGGGGCGGGGCTTGCCCTGGCCCCGCCTCCGCCCCGCCCCCAGCCCAGCGCGCTCCTCCCCCGCCCCGCCCCGCAGTCAGGCGGGGCCCGGCCTGTGTTTTTCCCCTTCGCCTGCTCGCTCTTTCTGCAGCCGCCGCGAAAACCCGGAGCGGCGCAGCCACCGAGCGGCGGAGCGGCGCGCCCCTCGCGGCACCTCCCCGGCAGCCCTCGGAGGCCGCGCTGGGCATGCTCAGTCGGAAGGGCCGCTTCAGCTCGCCGAGTAGGAAGCTTGGGCGCTCCGGCTGTAAGGCGCCGCGGCGGGGGGAAAATGGAGCCCTTCACCAATGGTGAGTGGCGGCCCGAGGCGCCCGGCCCTGGGCTCCCCGGGGCCCGGAGGGTCGTGGGCAGTCGTGACGCGCGGGGCCGGGCTGCAGCGCCCCCGCCGTGGGTTTCCCACCGGGGCTGGGGGCCGGGGGCGGCGGCTGCGGCTCGGGGGCGGCGGCGGCGGCCGTGCGGGCCGGCCCGGCGCGGAGGTGGCGCGGGGGTGCGGCCGGGCCCGGCGCCCCTGCGCGGCCGGGCGGGCGAACCGCAAAGTTTGGGCTGCGGTGCGCGGAGGAGCGGGCAGCGGGAAAGTTGGCAGCCCGGGTCTGCCCGCGGAGGAGGCGGTGTCGGCCCCGCTCCGGCGGGGAGGGCGCAGCCGGGCCGCTGCCAAACCCAACTTCGGTGGGGCGCTGGGAGCTGTCCCCCTGCCCTTCGCCGGGTAGCCGGCGTGACTTCTCCTAACGGGGCGGGGTAGGGGTGGCAGGCTTGGCAGGCTCATCTAGTGGCAGGAAGGGAAACTTGCGGAGAGGCTTGCTCACCCTGCGCGACATTGCCGCCCTCCTGTCCGTTGCCCAGGCGCGCTCTGCAGGGCGGTCGAGCTTCCTTTCCCTGGCTCCTGATAATTCCAGTTTTTCAGTCGGAGGCTCAGGAAATATCAAGGGTCCGTCACGGTGATATCACAATGTGTCATGAGGTGACAGTCCAAGCAGGAGCCTGCACCTTGCAAACAGCCACAGCCCTTTACTGAATGGAGAGAGTAAATGACACCCTAGTTAAAACGATGGCTTTTGTTTGGACCAGAAGTGCCGGAGTCACCATGTAGGGGTGAGATGTCTTACCATTTGGCGGCGTTGAGTTGCATGGATTCCCTTTTAGGATAGAAAGTAGGAAAACTGCCAGTAATGGGGACTACACACTACAATTACTCTTTGGTTGGACATGTGTTTTCCTGCGGGTGGTTGGTTACTTCAGGTAGTTAGGGTATCGCTGTAATTAGGAGCCGAAGTCTCTCCCTGCTTGGGTGGGTTAATTGCCATCCAAGAGAGAGAGAGAGAGACATTGCCCACTATATCCCAAACCCCAGCCAGACTTTGTTGTATGCAGTGCTTCACTCATGGGGCTGCGAACTACTCATTATATTCTCCCTGCTCCTAATTCAGAAAGCTTTATTCTACTGCCATCTTTCTGTCTATCTATACTGTTTAATTAGGCTTAATGATGATAGCTTTAATTCTGAATTTTCTTTCTCATTCAGGTTCTATTTGTAATTACCAAGGCTCTAAGAATCGCCTGGTAGCTACTCAGAAAATTGAGGACGATCTGAGCTGAAAGGAACTATAGAGATCGTCTAGTACTTTAGTGTAAAATATGTTTAATACAAGTCGTTAAATCCTTGCAACTCAATATTCCAAGACTTATTCTTTGTTGTAGGTAGAATGCTTTGTTCTAGGTAGAATGGAGCTTCTATGTTAGTGGGGTTTTAAATGTGCAATTTCACCTAAATTAAAAAAAAAATGTCCCCATGACAAGGCTGAGCCACTCATTTGGTCAATATGAGTGCTAGCTGATTTGCTGAACATTTACCTCCAGAATTAAAGTATGTTCTCAAGTCTTAAAATTGGGGTCTTTTCTCTCCTCATAAAATATGCTCCTTTAGATGTGAATATTTGCAAATTGTCACATTTGGTAGGACAATGGAAAAATCCTAGAGAAGAAAACCAAAAATGAAGCAATGCTTCAACCCTCATGTAGGAAATTGGATTTCTGATCCTTTCCTATCAATTTTCCAGATTTCAGAGTTGATGCTGAAGACAGTTTAGCAATGCATCAGTTTAGTTAATGTGCTTATCGCTCCTGGGAACCTTATCTAACAGCCTTTAACATAAGGAACATAGAAACTAAACATTTAAAGTCAACAAGAAATTAGATGCTAGTAATTCAAGGTCCTTTTTAGGTTTAAGATAGACTGGTATTTATTTTAATACTTTTGAAGGATTGCTGTACAATTTCCTAATGTCTTCAAACATGACACGGTATAGTAGAAAGTATGGTTATCTTTGTACTTCATCTTTTTAAGTACAAAGAATATATACATATAATTCTTCCATAGGTCTGGGTGTTCTGGTGCAGAGTATTCAATTATCCATAGAATTTATGATTGCAGGATGTATCAAGCTTGGTATTGGATTTCTTTTTACACATTCATCCTCTTTTAATAAAATCTTTCCCACTTATACTTTCTCATATATCTCTATATATGGAGAGAGGTATGTGAGCTTAACAAAAAGTTTTATTAATTTAAAACCACATATTTTCAGTTCAAATCTTGTCAGTAGTTTCACCCTCTAACCTATGCATTTGTGAAGAAAGTGAGTTTAGTTTCTGTCTTATCATTCCAGCCTTTAACACTCATCTGTTCTAGTAGGGCTTTCTGTAGTTTCTCTGTTTTCTGTCAAATGTTGCTACTTGGTTTGAACCATTTTTCTTTGGTCCTTCTCTCTGCCTGTTGATGATGGGTTCATTTGATGAATATCCTATGTTAACCTGTTCAGGTAACATAACTGTTGCAACCCATTTAAAATACATACCTACAGAAAGAGCTTATAAGGCTGGACCTTAGTGCTGGGAGTTCCAATTTAGCTCAGGACATATTTTTGTCCTTGTCCTTGGGAGGGACTGCTGGCTGTTACGTTGAACACTGGACATCCGGTCTGTATTTGGATCTTTGGTGTTTTTTTTTACCGTGAGAGAGAGAGATGCTGGGATTGGTTTGGCAATAACCGTTGTGTCCTGTTAGACAGGTAAAGGTGAAAACTATTAGGAATTGAACCATTAAGAATTGATGGCAGCTATCTAGGTTTTTCGATAGAGGTACTAGATCAAGGCAAGTAATTCTTTGATGTTTGTCTAGCTTTGTCTTCATTTGCATGCAGGATTGGGATATTTCAGAATAATTTAAATTTGTGTTAAGAAAAGCAAATGCCAGGGGCTGAGCCTCAGAATCTGATTGAAAAAGTCTGAAGTTAGTCCTAGAAATCTTTTTTTCTTCTTCTTTTTTCTTCCTTTTATACCAGAGATCTATTATGTAGTGATGGACCTAGAAATCTGTAACTTCATTTTGTGGATGCTAGAAGTGTTCACTAGAAAGGAGTTATTGGGAAGTTTATTAGGTAGGCAAATTCAGGATTTGGAAACATATTGATAGAGAATATCAATATCTTTTCCTGGTATTTTATGTGTGTGTGTATGTGTGTGTATATATGTGTGTGTGTGTGTGTGTGTGTGTGTATGTGTGTGTGTGTGTATATATATATATATGAGGAAGAGAGAGAGTCTACTTTGTGGTATAGTCTCTAGAGATTAGGAAAGCATTGGTATTTTGAAGTCCTAGAACTGGAAACATAATCTAAATAGTTTTTCATTTTTTTCATGTGAACATAGATTCAGCGAATCTCTATTACCACAGCATGGTGGATAGTCAAACAAGGGGGACTTTCCTACCTCACAAAATTATTTTTGTTTTTGTTTCAGATTATCCAGTCGAAAGTACTTTTCAACTTCTAAAAGGGGAAGTCTGGGCAACAAATTAGGTATTTATGGGTTGTAAGGCAGTATAAAATTGTGATTTCCTCTTTTTATCTTACAAATAATTGTTCTATAGGTATGCATATTTTTCTAAAAAAAACTTAGCATCATTTTTCAAAAATGTAAGCTTATCACAGTTTGTATATTTTTTTCTTTCTTTCTATGCTAAATTACCACATTGAGAGAAAACCCTTAAGAAATGGAAGCTTATAGTTTCTCTGTGTGGTGGAATATAAGTTAAATTCTATTTTCATCCTTCTGTCTTATGTTTTTTATTTCAGTTGAGGGAAATAAAACTTTATAGGAATCGGATTTAGCATCAACCTACAGTCTAAGGTTGAGACAGTAGCTAGAAACCAAAGCAGTTTTTAACTGGAACCTAGTGGTAGAAAAGTTCTTTGTTAGTATCAATTTCCAGAGAAGAGTGTCTTGATACAAGATAAAAAAAAAACAAAAAACAAAAAAACCAGACAGTGTATTTTAGAAACTATTATAACCAGTGATTATCATATATCCGTAGGTGATTGTTGAGAACTCAGCCTGAAAGATACATAGCCAGAAAGATTGGTTATAAGGAAATTATGTAGAAAACAAGTGAAGGGTAATTTCCTGCTCAGTAATTCAGTCATATACCATCTTTACTTACATGTAAACTTTCTGCTAGGCCCAGATACTGAAAAGCCACAAAACTCACAAACCTGTCATCCGATAATGCTTACCTGAAAAGAGAAGTGGACTTGAAGAGCCTAGTTTTGTTTTCATGCCAATATAAAAATATAGAAGAAATTTTTAAAAAAGCAATAAAGCTTTGTCTAAGACAGTATTCCAATTATGAAAGAAATATATAGAATTGTGTTTATAACCTTTTCGTGTATGATATCTAAGCTCATATTTCCCCAGATTTGGTGTAATATTCCTGTTAGGAAACAGCAGCATTGACCCTCTCTGTGAAAACATTGGAAATTTAGATATGGAAGAATTTTATCAAGATTACCCCAGAAATTGAGATGGAGCTAGATTAGGCATATGGTTCTTGGCAGTTGAGGTGAGGAGGACCGTGCAGCCACATTGTCAGCGAGTTACCTCACGTCTTAAAAACTGTGGAAGGTTGGAGTTGAGTTAGCACTACTAGGCCTTTCCATAGTATCATCGGAGCAACCAGAGAGATGGTTTTTTTGTTTTGTTTTTTGACTTGAATCCATATATATGTTCCTTTTCTGAGTGTTCATAGGAAACCAGGATTGGGAATGGAGGGAAGTTTTAGAGCCTTGTGGTTCAGTTCCTTTTGCATCTATATGTATATCTGGCCTTTTGTAGAGAAGGCTGCTCATTGCCCTGGTATTTCTGGGCAGTAAATGTAACATTAAGAGTTCCTGTGTCCATGGAAGGGTGCCTAGGATTCCCTTATAACCTTATCTAATGTTGTAAATTCATTTGTGAT